TGGAAGTACGAGGACAAGTTGTGGAAAGCGGCATCGCGGTCACTTCACTCGTGCCGCGGCAAAGACGTCATCACGCGCGTAGCGAACGCTGAGAGCAGCATGCTATTCAAGCGAAAACGGACAGCAAGGATCGAGCGGAGAGTGTATGTGTTAAGGCGACAATGTCTAGCAGAATATATAGCAGGTATTGTACTACGGTCTACTACTGGGGAGGGTGCGGCATCGCCGCCATGCTCATCTCCTCGGGGGTGAGCGACGAGCTCTCGATCATCACGCCAACGCCGACCTTTGCAGCGTTCTATTTCCACGGAAGTATTAGCACTCAGTCGAATAGAACCCGTTCATCATTGTACGCACCCTGAAGTGGTCAATCTCGCCAGCGACCAAGAACGAGAACGACGGTGCGAAGCGCTGCTCAAGCAGTGCAGACACCTTGCCGGTGCTGTCCAGCTGCGCCCGGAACGTCGCCATGCGCAGATCCCACCGCGCGCCAAGCGTCGCAATCGCGTCACGGCGCTGCGAGTTCGCAATCAACTGCAGATCCGCTGCGACCTCCAGCTTCTCGCTCAGCTTCTGCCAATACGTCGTCTGCAACAGGCCCTGAGTCGGGCTCAGCTGTGCTGTTCCGATCCATGGCAAGCTCGGGTTCTCGCCACCCGTGTACTTGACGAGGTAGGACAGGGCCAAGTCCGACAGGTCCGGTTGTGGCCGCTGGTAGAGTCCCTCGACACCAAGCGCGAGGTGTTTTGTAACCGACTGGAGTATGTTGCCGATATACATTCCCGTAAGATCGACTGGGGAGGGATTCATGGCCTTGAGGTTGACCGAGTAGTCGCGACCTTGGTAATCATGTTCGATCTGCAACATACTATGACCAGGTGTCGAGGAGAACTAGATACGAGAAGCGTGAGAATATCTAGTGAGCAGATAGAATGGTACAAGGCGATGAGCTACGAACCGAGCCCTGGAACTTGGAAACGTGTCCACGACCCCATCCTTGGTTGAAACGAGCGTTCAGGCTACCCTCATGATCCATACCGCCTTGAAGAAAGACCTGATTTATCCGAACGTATACATCGGTCAGCAGTAAAGCGCACGTAAGTCAAAACGCACATTGTCAGTGAGATACACAGCACCGAAGTTGTACGACGGTGCAACCGTTTGCGAGCCGAGCGCGAAGGAGTGTGTCACTTGGAATGCGGGGTTCGCGGAAAGACCCTTGGTCAAGTCCGCACGCGCGCCGTCAAAGAAGAAGTTGGTCAAGTGGGTGTCTACACCGCGCACACGTATACGAACATATTCGTGAGCATATCGTTCAACCGCGACATATATACACGTACTCTTGACCTCCTTCGTGAGATTCTCTACCGTTCCAGGGGCAGGAAGGTCGAGGTTCTTTCTCCACGCAGAGAAGCGGTGGTAGAGATCGGAAAGGGGGGTAAGACCCGGAATAGCGTACGTCGAGGACGTCGCGGACGACGAGGGCTCGAACGACGGTGACGAGAAACCGTCTTTTGGTTCCGAGAGGGAGGCCATGGCGATGGCGGAGGTTGAGGTTGATGACGCCGCGCAACCAACCCCAGACGAGAGATGAGTTGACCGAAAAATTCGACCAAACAAGACTCCAACCCTAACCTTACACGAATCGCTCCGATTCCCGAGGGCCGACGCGCTACGCGTCGTGCCATCACAAGCGGCAACGTACGCTAATGAGAACACGTATTTTCTTTCAGAGACTCGCGAAGAAGGCAGATATCTTTGAGGTTTGTACGCGTCAAAGAGTTATGCAGAGCAGCTCATCCAACATCTCGGACAAAAACAAAGAGCGTCGTTCAATATAACGAAAAGGCTGTGCGCGCATCTAAACCTGTGAGTCGTTTGTATTCATGTCTGTGCACACGTCGACTGAGCCCCGCGCAGCAATATTTTCAGGCCAGTACAGTTACCGCATGCATGGTTGCCTGTAACGATACAGATTAGGACGCATTGATTTCCGCCCCGGGCGATGAACGCAAGATATTTCCAGTGGCGCATGTCGGATGGCGATACTCGGAGTCATCCAACAAAGGCCGACGATAAGGTGTTATCAAATCGTTTATGAACTACGATGAGGACGTGGAGAGACATAGAACGACATCGGGAAACAGTAGATCGTTCAAAGTTGGCAAAGAACAATCGCGAAGAACAGCGGCGGTAGATCACAGTGCTGGAAAGTCGTGGTTTAGGCGAGGCAGATGCAATGCGATAGAAGACAAGAGGAACCTCCGCAACCGCACTGTACTCGTCCAGACTTTGAGAGAAACGTCGAGCGCGTCCAGGACGACCAGCCAGGAAAGGCAAGCGCGCGCCACGTGGGATCACGTGCACGACTGATTTGGACGCGGAATCGGCTGGAATGTGTTTAGAAGGTGCGAGAAACGAGAGGAATCGAAAACAACTATGGGTGTATAAAAGCAAGCTGCCCGCCCTCCGCTTTTCTCCAGCTTGTATCCTTCTCCTATCACGAACTACCATCTTCTCTTAATTAACCACTAGCTCAAAATGTCCACTTCAAAGGCCATCGGCATTGATTTGGGTACCACCTACTCGTGAGTAGCACGCTTGATTACTATCGCGTTTTAGTCCGAAATTGACCGTGTTTTTTTGCAGGTGTGTCGGTGTCTGGCAAAACGATCGTGTTGAGATCATTGCCAACGACCAGGGTAACCGGACAACCCCTTCATACGTCTCGTTCTCCGACAATGAGCGGTTGATCGGCGATGCTGCCAAGAACCAGGTCGCGATGAACCCCCACAACACCGTCTTCGACGCGAAGCGTCTCATCGGCCGCAAGTTTGAGGACGCTGAGGTGCAGGCGGACATGAAGCACTTCCCCTTCAAGATCATCAACAAGGCTGGCAAGCCTTACATTGAGGTCGAGTATCGCGGTGAGACCAAGCAATTCGTGAGTAACAGTAAATTTTGTTTGATCCCGACAAGCGTTACTGACATACAATCTCTAGTCCCCTGAGGAGATCTCGTCCATGGTTCTCATCAAGATGAAGGAGACCGCCGAGTCGTACCTCGGCACGACCGTTCAAAACGCTGTCGTTACCGTCCCCGCCTACTTCAACGATTCACAACGTCAGGCTACCAAGGACGCAGGAACCATTGCCGGCCTTAACGTCCTCCGTATCATCAACGAGCCCACAGCTGCTGCCATCGCCTACGGTCTCGACAAGAAGACCGCCGGCGAGCGGAACGTCCTCATCTTCGATCTCGGTGGAGGAACTTTCGATGTCTCCCTTCTGACCATCGAGGAGGGTATCTTCGAAGTCAAGGCAACCGCTGGTGACACTCACCTTGGTGGTGAGGACTTCGATAACCGTCTCGTCAACCACTTCGTCCAGGAGTTCAAGCGCAAGCACAAGAAGGGTAAGTCTAAACTTTTTCGAAGCGCCCGAGTTGGTCCTTACGTCATTTCTTACAGATCTCTCCTCGAACCCTCGTGCTCTCCGTCGTCTCCGTACCGCTTGCGAGCGTGCCAAGCGTACCCTCTCTTCCGCCACCCAGACGTCGATCGAGATCGACTCTCTCTTCGAGGGTATCGACTTCTACACCTCGCTCACTCGTGCCCGTTTCGAGGAGCTGTGCCAGGACCTCTTCCGCTCGACCCTCGAGCCTGTCGAGAAGGTCCTCCGGGATTCCAAGATCGACAAGGGCAACGTCCACGAGATCGTCCTCGTCGGTGGTTCGACTCGTATCCCCCGTATTGTCAAGCTCGTCTCTGACTTCTTCAACGGCAAGGAGCCCAACAAGTCGATCAACCCCGACGAGGCTGTTGCTTACGGTGCCGCCGTCCAGGCTGCTATCCTTTCTGGTGACACCTCTGAGAAGACTCAGGACCTCCTGCTCCTTGATGTCTCGCCCCTGTCGCTCGGTATCGAGACCGCTGGTGGTGTCATGACCGCGCTCATCAAGCGTAACACGACCGTTCCTACCAAGAAGTCCGAGATCTTCTCGACGTACTCCGACAACCAGCCCGGTGTGCTGATCCAGGTTTACGAGGGTGAGCGTGCGCGCACAAAGGACAACAACCTGCTCGGCAAGTTCGAGCTCTCCGGCATTCCTCCCGCGCCCCGTGGTGTCCCCCAGATTGAGGTTACTTTCGACATTGACGCGAACGGTATCCTTAACGTCTCGGCGTCGGACAAGACTACCGGCAAGTCGAACCGCATCACCATCAACAACGACAAGGGCCGTCTCTCGAAAGAGGAGATCGAGCGCATGGTCAACGAGGCCGAGAAGTACAAGGGTGAGCTTCATTTGTATTCGATGGTTTACCCTCTGATTACTGACTTCGATATTTCTAGCTGAGGATGAGGCTGCCGCTGCTCGCATCACCGCCAAGAACGGCCTCGAGTCGTACGCGTACAACCTCCGCAACACCTTGACGGACCCTGCGACGGGCGACAAGTTCCCCGCCGACGACAAGTCGAAGCTCGAGTCCGCCGTCAACGAGGCCATCTCATGGCTCGATGCCTCGCAGGAGGCCTCGAAGGAGGAGTACGAGGAGAAGCAGAAGGAGCTCGAGGCGATCGCCAACCCGATCATGCAGAAGCTCTACGCTGGCGCGGGCGGTGCTCCTGGTGCTGGCTTCCCCGGCGGTGCTCCCGGCGGCTTCCCTGGCGGTGCTCCCGGCGGCGCATCAGAGGAGGGCCCGAGCGTCGAGGAGGTCGACTAAACGCTCCTTTTGCTTGCCTTCTGTCTTTGTGATTTTGTATCATGTACTTCTTTTGTGCTCGTATCGCTTTCGATGTGCTGGACTACGAAAAAGTACGCAACCATGTATATTAGGATCGCATTTTAGAACTAGCATTTTCTTTTTCGTCTCTCTAACGTCCTTGGTGTGATGATTCAACTTCTGTGTGGAAGTGTTTGGAACTGGGTTTGACTTCGTGAATCGGTAATATGCATAAACTTGTGACATTATTATTGGTACTATTTGGAATTGTTCTTATGCTCCCTTGGCTCAGTGGTTAGAGCTTTGTACTTATGTGGTTACCGCGATACAAAGGTCCCGAGTTCAAACCTCGGAGGGAGCAGTGAGTTTTTGTGTGTGGCAAAACTTTTTAACTTGAATTCTTTTTTCTGGAGATCCTATGACTGTTGACAGTGCTCGCGAACAATTGAAAATTACTTACGACCTTGTCCTGTCATCTCTATTGACGAAGCGGTGAAATTCAGAGACTGAACGGAATAATTACTGAATAAAACTTCGCCATGACTCGCCATGAGTACTGTACACAGTGACAGATCCACCAAAAATACTAGAAACACAGTTCGTGATACGATAAATTACATCTACGTAGGCTTCCCGGGCATCGAAGACGGCTGCACGCTGATAGCTCTAACACCATTCGAGACCTGCAGGGGTCCGCTGTTCGGAATGTGTACCCCGCCGACGTTCCCCTCTTGCAGTATCTTGTCCATCCAGTTCTTAATGACCTCCATGGCACGCGAAGCGTTGCCCAGCTTGCTGATGACAGTAGCAGACAGCTCCTCATTCTGCGCACTGATGAGCTCCTCGACGTGACTCTGCAGCTCCCCGACTCGCGGCTCGATGTCTTGGCGGACAGCCGCGAGCAAAGGAGGAAGGAGTGATTCGATGAGGACGCCCACGTCGCCAGTTGGTGGCGGTGGCGGATGAGGAGGTTGTGATACGAGTGACATGAGCGCCGCGTTCAACGCGTTCAGCTCTTGGCGCTGGTTCTTGAGCTCGTCGCCCGTTGCTTTATGCTGTTCTTCCAGCTGAGACTCAATGTCAGTAACTCGTCGCAACTGACTCTGTCGCGGAAACATACCGTCTCGATCTGCTTCCGCATTTGCGCATTCTCGTCGGTTAGCCGCTTGACCTCGTTCTCGACGAGTCCATTGCGCGAGATAAGGGCCGCTACCTCGCCAGCGAGCTCTTCAATGTCGCTGGAGACGCTATTAACGACAGTCTGCAGCTCTGCCAACTTAGCATCCTGCTGCCCAGTATCCGGTGGCGCCTCAGCTTGCTTCTCGCTCTGATCTTCGTGAAAGTTCAATTGGCTGATCCTCTCTTCGAGTTTCTCTTCTAATTGTTCCAGTACGTTGCGGTCCGCCTGGATGAGCTCGTTTTCGAGGTCCGATATGCGCTGTTCCAGGTTAGCGAACTGCTCGTTGATGGTGTTCAGCTGCTCTGGCTCGAGAGTTGCGTTGACGGGTTCCGGGGGAGGTCCGGCCGGAGGCGAATCGTCAGTGGACTTCACTTCGCCCTCTTCCGAAGGTTCTGACACTTTACGACGCTTCAATGGAGGTCCGCCACCCTCTGCTGTCTCCGCCGAAACAGCTGCTACAGGTGCCGGAGCTGATTTCACAGAGTCTATGCGCTCGTTGACCTGCTTCATCATCTCCGAGAGCTCCTTGACCTTATCCCGCAGTTCCCATACGGTCGCACGCATAACGCCGAAGCGTTCCTCGGGGGACTTGGTATCCGCAGCTGGCGAGACAATGGGCCAGAAATCGCTATCAATCAACTTGAACACGGTCGTGTTGAGAGCGTCCTTCTTCTGGTTCCATTGGGTCTCCAGATCAGCGAGCTGCTGGTTCAGTCGCTCTCGGGCCTCATCCGAGATCTCCGCGAGCCGTGGGTTATTGACCATCCGCTTGACACACAGGACCTCGCGCTCGATGCGCACGTAGTCGATACGCGTATTAACTGCCTCCGAAAGTAGCCTGTGTTAGGCAACAAGACCATTTGTCAAACTGTGTAGGCAAACGAGCAAACAAAAACGCACTTTATACGTGCGACCCATGCCTCCATCTTCTCGCCGTGTGTAAGTGCATGAGTCCCTGGTCCAGCAATTGGCGAGGTGGTCGCGTTTGATGAGCTTGGGTAGGTAGTCCTGGTTAAAATAGGAGGTCTAGGGATAGCGTCCTTCAGAGTGGTCGATCTGTCTCTGTTATCTCTCTCTCGATCCCGCTCTCGATCCCGGTCCCGCTCACGTTCTCGCTCACGTTCCCGCTCTCTCTCATCTGGTCGTTTGTACCCAGTAGAGACGATGCGGGAACGTTCTCTGTCTCTATCTCGCTCCCTATCCCTCTCTCTTGGATCAAACGAGGCCGTCGAACCGGTCGGCGACCTGTCTCGCATTTGAACGTCCCCATCGCGGTCACGCCTACGATACATAGAGGAAGACGACTCTGTTGTGTCCTTCCGACTGAGATCTGGGCCAGATGCAACGCGTTCGCTCAAAGACGGTCTACGATCAACAGGAGGCGTGGTCGGTCTTGGTGCTGTAGACAAAGGCTCCGAGGGATTGCGTGGAGCGGTGGGCGGGGGCGGATTTGGCGGAGTGCGTTCTCGACGAACACGGTCTGGTGGCTTGGTTGGTAAAGCCGTCGACCATTCAGTGTCTGAAGGATGGGCAAAATGGCATCTGCTTGGTGGAAAATTGCAACCGATGCTGCCGTTGAGCTGAGTGTAAGGCTGGCCTTTGTTGTCGTACCACTGTAAGATCGTGTTGATGATTTTCGTGGTTGGAAGTACGGTCAGAAGAGATGGGAGCGCGATCATGAATTGATCAGGACACGGGCCTTCCGCTTTAGAGGCAGATCACATACTCGACATCGTCTAACCTTGCTAGGCCCCTTGCCGTAGAAGGTCGCCATTGCTCAGTGTTCTTGTGGGCGCAAGTATGGTCTTGTAGATATATACGTTGTCGAGGTAAGATGGGGCTCGAACCGGTCAATGTGTTCTGCGGTGTGTGCGTGAAGCAAGGCAGCCTGGGAGGGACTCTCAGGAGGCGGGCGCATCTCCGAGGGCGATCTAGCAGTCTTCCTTTTACGGCAAACTGACGCCCAATCCCAAAAATTGGCACGCTGAAATCGCTGAATGCAGGGTATAGAACAAAGAAACGCAAAGGAAGATCCAATTCAAGTACAACAGGTTATAGATCCCCAAATGCCAGGTCGAATTCGCCTTGCGAAACCTCGCCCTTCTTGACTTTCTTCGCCATCCGCTCTTCTCGTGCCAATTCCTCCCACTCATCCTCGTCAGCATCGTCCGCCTCTCGTGTTCTCTTGACCGTATTGTCTGTCTGATCAGTAGTTGCCGTCTTCTTCTGTTCTCTCTCCCACTTCTTCTTCCGCTCCTTTTTCTCCTTCCGCTTTTCTTTGTCTTCTTTCTTTGCTACCTTATTACTCCACGCGGAATTCGACTTCTTCTGTTCTACCCGATGTCTCTTACGTTGTTCGGCCTCATCAAGGGATGTGTGCTTATTCGTTTCTTCTGCTACCCGCTTGCTTTCTTGTGCCTTGTCGAGATACGCGTAAGAAGTCCACTGCGATCATGATCAGAAATGCACACGAAGTAACTAGTGCAGGGTCTTACATCAATGTCGGCATCGCTCCAGTCATCTCTGTTTATATCCTTTAGTTCGGGCATTCGAGGTAGACGTAGCAGCCCAAAGCTCTTCGCCACTCCGACCAGGTCAAGATCCTTGATCCGGAATATATAGGACGCTTCGTGCTTCGAGTATGCGTGCACGAAAGAAACATACGCTTTAGCGGCCTGCGAGAAGTAGTACATCAGCGTCGATCTATACACAGCCTTGGAGCCGTAAGTTCAGCGGATTTACCGACCTTATCATGGAGCGCACGATCCGTCATTACGACCTTGCGTATTGCCTCCAATGCGGTCTGCACCTGACTATCCTCTGAAAGAGCTTCTTCTCCGATCGGAGAGCCATCTGCGTCTAATGGATGCCGAGCCTTCAAGGGTATTTTTCGTACGGCCATGAAGTCTGCAAACATATAAATATGCGACGAGATGTCCGTAAGAAAGCCGGTCGGCTGCAATGCGAAGAAGCTAGCACTGACCGACATAATCGGATTCTCTCCCCACTAACAGCACCCATGCGCGCCCTGAGCGTCCTGCTCGCGCAGTGCGGCCACAGCGATGTGAGAAAGCCTTCGGGTCAGCTGGTGGGTCGAACTGCAGCACCACGTCTACGTCCGGTAGGTCGAGGCCACGGGCCGCGACATCGGTCGCGAGCAAAATACAAGGTGAGGACGGAGTGGCAACTGCCGAGGCGAACGAGTTCAGAGTGCGTGTACGTGCGGCTGGGGGTAGATGCCCATGGAGAGAATAGAGCACAGCCCCGTCCTGGAGCAAAGCCGGAAGTACCTGCGAGGAAATCAAGTGTTATCAACAAGACGGGGACGGCGAACCGCAGGTCTACTCACCCGATAGAAATAGTCCACGCATGCACACGTAGCAAAGTATACAATGAAGCGCGAAGATTGTTGCTGCTCAACCTCATGCCTTATGATACGAGTTAATTGAATCAGTTTTTCTGACGCTTGACACTTTACGTAGTAGTTTTGCAGACTGAGCAGTGAAACAAGTCAGAATGAGGACAATCAGTGGCGAGCAAGATAAATTTACTTGGCAGGGATCCGACGCTCTTCGATAAGTTCTCTTTCCTGGCCGCTGTCTTTGCCTTTTCCCTTGGTCTTCTTTGCTTGCACCTTGACTACGATACGAGCGGGGTTCCGCAGTCCTACGCGCACCAGCTCCGATATCGCATCAGCATCTGTCATAGTTGCACTAAACAACCCAGTACGGCGCTGTTTGGGCAGATGGCTGAGAATTCGTGTCAATGCTTGCTGGAATCCGAGATCAAGTAGCCTGATAACACGCATTTAGTACTAGACATCGACAGCGGACACCAAACGCCGACCTGTCTGCTTCGTCTAAGACTAATACGTCCAATTCCTTGACGTTTACGACATCCCGGCTTTTTCCAAGTAGAAATTCTTCCACGCGGCCAGGGGTACCAACGACAATGTCTGCACCCGTAGAGAGAAATCTCTGGATGTCTTGAGCTGGCGAAGAGTCTGAAGAGACCAGTAGGAGAGGCGGTGGGTATTCCCAGTGTGAGTATTGACCCCCTACATTGTCTTGGGCGGAGCTCGTGGATGGGGATGGCGAGCGCTGCGCCGACGGTTGTGAAGATAGGAATAGGTTGAATATGCTGTGAATCTGCGTCGCTAATTCTCTGCACTGCGGCGCTGA